GTGAAGACCGCACTAGCCGCCACGTTGAACGAGCGGGCCCCCAAGGAAGAGGTCCTCCACACTCTGCTGGTCGAGGTCGAGCACACCCTCAATAGTCGACCGCTAACCCACGTGTCAACATCGGCAGACGACGACAGCGCCCTAACCCCCAATCACTTCATATTGGGCGGTCCATCGCGCGTCCCACTGCCAGGCAGCTTCACAGAGAGCGACGCGGCGGGACACAAGGAGTGGCGTGCCAGCCAGAGGCTAGCTGACTGCTTCTGGAACCGGTGGGTGAAGGAGTACCTACCCGAGTTGCAACACCGGCGGGAGCCCCGAGCTACACACGGAGCCATCAAAATGGACGACCTGGTCCTAATAGCTGATGGGACCTTGCCTCGCAACACGTGGCCGCGAGGCGTGGTGGTGGCGACCTACCCTGGACCAGACGGCGAGGTTCGAGCAGTCGACGTGCGGACGAACAAGGGCATCCTACGGCGACCCACTAAGAAGCTGATCATACTGCCCACATCGACATCGAGCGACGCGAACACGAGTTAACTCCAGCTACGAGAGCTGCGGCGGGAGATTATGTTCGCGACATTATTTGTATATATCGTAATTTATAGTTGTTAAGTCCCTAGTTAATCGTTTCTGTATTCTGTTATTTTATATAGATTTACATAGATTTAAGATAGTGTAAGTTAAATAAAGTATTCCTTTGCGTGTTGTCGTTATTACCTACGAATAGAAATTGTAATAATAAATAGAATTAAGAAATTGTAAATTGAAATAAAATAAATAAATAGACGCTATAGAGTACCGATCTGAAGAGACACGCGTCTCGTTCATTTTCGCCCCGTCCCGCTCGCACAGATCGCTATCGCGAGTTGGAAACGTTATCGTGCGAGCGGGCGGGTATAAAGATAGGCCGCCTCCCGTCGAGCGGCATTCGCTTCCGGGCAGCGACGCACTACACTCGAGAAGAAATAGGACAAGAAGAAAAAATACTCTCTTCAGACGGTACCGGAGGCTTCAGAATAGTAATCCCTGGGTTTCACTCCAGCCTGAACCAACGCCCCTACAGTCCACGCTCACCGAACGGCAGTCCACACCGTTCATGATGGTCGCAGGTTTGATACCTGCATAATACAATCACTTGTATTACACTGTATAACAGGTCAAGTATTAAAATATAAATCAAACTGTCCTATACTATATATGTATATATGTTTGTTACTTTTTCACGCAAAGGCTACTTAGAATAACGAGGCTGGCTAACCATCTAATAAAAAGTAAGAAAAACAAATAACATATTATTGTTTCTTCCAATTTATAGTATACTATCTTTTACCCGCGACTTCTTCCGACGACTAAGATAAAGACCTATATCCTTTTCCCATATAGCACAAATTTCACAGTGATCGCTAAAGACGCTATAAGGTAACAAACAACTTTTTTACCTTCTCCTAAGTTTTGTTTCTTATTATTATTCTTGGCATCCGTACTAATATAATAAGAGTAAAAGTAAGTCTGTTTATTATCTTTTAGCGGCTTAACTAATCACTATTTAATTTTGTATATACATACTATATATAGTTGGTGTCGTGTCGTATCAAGAGGTGAAGAGACTCGCTGAAAATCGTAGTGAGTGACAAGAGCTCCACCGACAAGAGCGCAGCTCTTAAATAGGATAGGTAAATACTATATATACGACTATATAGAATAGTGAATAGTCACGATGACGAAGTAGCGGGTAAAAGGTAATTATTTCATAATTATCATGAATGTGTATTAGTTTTTATTTCTTTATCATAATATTTCTCCTTTTACTATATTCTTTTATTATACATGTTTAGTTGTCAAAACTATTCAAACAAGTATAGAAAAATATTACCTAATATAATTGAATGAAATCAGACTCATTAAAACCTATTTTATAATTTATTAGGATAGAATATTATTTCTATCCATTTGAGAACATGTGTGTGAACAAGGCAATAGCACTTAGATCTCGACATTGTACGATCGCTCCCTTACTCAGTCGTACCTACATCATGGTCGTAGCAACAAAATAAGCTATTTGTTATTCAAGCCAAGTAACACTGACTCAAGAAACTATCTAAAGATTATCCCCCGCACTTTCCCTCCTTCAATACTGTACTCTGACAACTGACATGCTACAATTTTATTGACGGGTTTTATAGTTACTTAGATAGTGTATTTTTTTTTTTTCTATTTCCTATACTATACAGTATCATAACTAACCAAATTCATTCCTTAAAATGAGTGTTATGTTAATTTATAGCCTCAGAATTTTTTTCCTAGAAACAAATTTATATTACAAAAAAATAAACCAATAATAGATATGTACATACCTTATTCTGTGTGGTGTTATTAGTAATAAATATTAACACTAGTTATAAAGAAATGGTATCTTTTTTTTTTATATAACTTAAAATGACAAACAAGCTGACGGCCCACCTGATGGAAAGTGATAACCGTCGCCTATAGACATGAACAGTACCATGGACATGAGGGAGTATATTGTGTCGCTTATGATAGTCTACATGCATTACCATTCCTGAGAACTAAGACTAATAGGACTAATTCGTTATTTATCTTACTGTATAATATCGCTACATATTATATAAATAAGATTATAATTATAAATATAATATTAATACTAATTAAAAATAATAAATATTATTAAGTTATTTTAATCTAAAAATTAAAGTGAACCGATTTTGAGCATACCCTTTTAGATAATAAAAGATAATTTTCCAAATAAACTATCAAATATAATTTTTTTTATGTTTGTAACCTCATAACTCTGACGGAGTTAAAAAATACAACCGTTTTAAGAACATCGTTCTTTTTGAAGTCGGTTGAAAGCAAAGTCCGCCGTCGTGTCTGTCTATATGTATGTTCATGATAATCTCAAAAACTACGGATTTTCATATTTATAAGTAAAGTTATTCCTGGAGAAGGTGTAGGTACTTATATAATTCGTTAAGGTTTTATGTAAATTGATTAAACTATGTCGATAATTGTTGAAGATATTGTTAAAAATCAAGCAGTCCAGCGTCTGGGAGTTTTCGTGGAAAAAACTGGCTAATCCATTTGAGATATAACAAAACATTGTATGGTGTTGTATGATTGTTTCTCTTTTATAGGTTTATAAAAAGATCTGCGTTGGCACATGTATATCTTTTAAGGATAGCTTACTATACCCACTACGGTATTTGAAGAAAAGCTAGTTAGACGGATACAGTATTCATAGGAAATAAAATATATTAAAAATACTCCAAGTAGCGTATAATATGCTACATTTAAATCTAATTCATACTTGATGCAAAAATTAAAGATATCTTCAAATTTTTAAATTAATCAAATATTATTATATTGTTATTAATATTATACTATATATGTATGTACGAGTATTATAAAATACAGGCTAACTTACATAGGTTGTTATATATTTCAAAATTTTCATTACACAATTTCACATAATTAAATAACACGAAATTAACATCTCACTTATGGGCATGAATCTCTCCCATTACAAGAAAACATTGCAAATTATCTCTTATACGGGTGTATTTAATTAATTTTCTCTTTGGCTCATAGTCACCTCTTACAAAATCCTTGGTTCAAAAAGAAACCTACTAATAAAAAACTTTTCTATTTTTTTAAGTGAAAATTTCTTTAATAAATTTCGTATATAATATTTATTTAATTTTTTTAATAATATGTTCTATTTGTTATAGAGCTAAGAAGTTTTCACTTCTGACGTGCAGTCCTAGGACTGATTCTGTTTTCTTTTTCTGATTTTGTATTAAAATTATTGAATTGAATAATATAGCAAAAGTAGGATAATATTCACCGTGTGTGCCCCGGTATAGAATGGGTCGCCCCTAATTTTCCCGTGGGTGTCGTAAGAGGCGACGAAGGCCGGATGAAAAATGAACAGCAGCGTCCCTATTAAAACATATCTAAAAGCCTAACTACGGTTGCCAACCCGCCTGTTAAGCGTGGCAACTACTGGCAAACTCTCCTTATGGGGAAGACTTATGTCCAGCAGTGGACGGTTAACGGCTGAAATAATAGGATAATATTGACGATGCCGACTAAACAGTAACGAATAAATGCATTATTAGGGTTATGTGAGGTTATTAAATAGGGTTTCATGAGTTGCTAATATTGCATATTCTAGTATATTTGGCAAGATCAACAATACTATAATTATATTATGGCTTGAACAAACAGGCCCTTGCTAATTAGAAACGGTGTTTAAAAATATACTGCAAATATATATTCTAAAAAAGATTGTATATTGCATTAAAATTAATTACAATATATTAGCAGAATAAGATTGGACTATAATTTTCCTCCGATTGTGATGTAACACCTAAAAAGTACACCTTATTCTAACAAATAAATGAATTCTAATTCTGAAATCTATAGATTATCAAATAAATACAATATTTATTAACTAAACTATAAATGCATTTATTTAAAAGGTGTTTTGTTGAAATACATATAAAAATACTATTTTGTACCGACTTATAATTTTTAATAGTCTTCTACAATGTAAACGTAGAGTAAGAGAATATTTTTCAAAATTTCGAAAAGAATGGAAGAACAGGGCTTCCGAGCAAACAGTTAATAACTTTATAAATATTTTATTTAAAATATCATATGGTGATGATCTTTACGATGCAGTAGTATGCGAGTGCTTTGCATAAATGAAGGCCCAGGTTAGATCCTCGGTCGGGCCAAATTAGGAAAAGGACTTTCCTAAATTTGTTCATTTATTTTAAATATTTTGTAAGGTTGAAATATCCTCATACACTATTAAACGGAAACCATTGGGCGTATCTTGGGTTATGCCTCAAATACTTATTGCCTGGCTTCTTATAACATGCAGTATAAATGACAGTAAAAGACAAATAAAATAGAAATATTTGCAGTATATTTTCATGTACCACATACTAGAACATTCGATTGTATGGTACCTATCTGTGCCGTTGCAGTGGGGCGGTGCGAGGTGATTGTGTGAGTGGTGCGGCGCAGGGGTGGCGGAGGCATGCGGCGTGTGCGGCGTACTACGCCACCCGCTCAGCAGCGGCGCTTCTCCGCTAGTACCCAGCAATTTTAATCTAAACAATAAAAGGTCACGTGAATAAACAAAAAAATGTTAGAGTATGTTAGTGGTTTTCAACGGATCAAAAGTGTACTTTTGACCTGTGGGAAGATTTTACTGATATAAATAACATAGTTCGGGTTACTATGAATATATGTGGTAATATATGGTGTTATATATATTAAGCACAAACATATCAAGGGTTGCCCAAACAAATAATCATACTTATTGAAAAATGTATAAAATTATTATGGTCTTATTACAAAAATTAAAAAAAAAAACAGGTAGATATATAATAGGAAAGAACAAACAGTAACGTGCACTAATATATATCATACTTACTATATTATTATAACTGGGAATAGTCGATGTTTATGTATATGTTATTACCATTAATAATTTAAGGGTGCAACTAACATTAATTTTAAAGTAATAATACTTTCTAATAATGATACTGTAATATAAATTTGCGCTTAATCTATAACACCATATATTATTATATAATACAAAATGAGAATTTTCAAACCACTAATATATATAACATTAATATTGATATATTAGAACTTTTGTGAAATTACTATGTTTGTCGTTTCGTTTACTAAATTATCTTTGCATTTAATTTTAATAATTTTAGCCTTTTATTATACATTTTTAATTTTCATATTTAAATTAATTTGCGTCAATATTTCAATATCGAGGCAAATGACAAATGAGTTTGTCGATAGATACGAGTGTGTTAGATATTTATTTTAAATTACATTAATTTTCTTAAACATCTTGTGTGTACCTAAATTTATTAATAAAAATCAGACTAATTACTTTAATAAAATATTAATATTGTTATTATACTAAATTTTGTAATGAATTATTCTTGTAATGTATATAAAACACTTATTTATATTTTAATTGATTTTATAATTATTTATTATCATGATACTTAAATAAAAAGGAATGAAAAGAATACGTGGTCTCACTGACTTGTTTACTCGAATTCGGCCCTGTGGATATAAAAGATTGTTATTTGGGTGGGGAGACGTTTCTTGTCCAACCGTTGAACAGAGCGGAGCTCTCCGACGAATCAAGAGTGAACAAATATAGTTAAACCACGTGATCATTATATAAAATATATCACAATAATTGTTAATGGAAGTCCTAAAGAAGCTATAGTTAAATAAGTGTCAATGGATTAACAAAAGTTGGGTATTTATGTTATATTATTTATTATATATCAAACACAAAGTAAAATAAGTAAATATAATGATTTAATAGAATGATATCTAAAATAAATGAACTGAGTGAACTTGTGCTTAATTTCTATTTATTACTAAGAGGCTTACAACCTTTATGTTGCTAAAGAATATACCATATACTTACCATGTAAAGTTAGAATTACATAGTTAAATTATTATATAAACAGATTACCCTACAGTAACATACTTACGAGTATATATTAAATATTATGAATAATGAGTACAGTTTTTTTTTATAAATTGATAAGTGCGTGTCCGTTGGCGCACGTAATACGAAGAACAAGACTACACACAACGCTGGACGTCGCCGTCTCATTCTATCACATGCCTGCGTATGAGACAACGTACCTATCGATAGGTTTGTTTGTCACTTGTAAAGGAGAACAGGTGTGCAGGTAACATTAACCTGAAATAACATTGCGTTCTAGTTCTATATATGTTTCTGCTTAGAAAATGGACAGGTAGTTAAACAAATATTTTCAAAAAGCTGAATCATCACATCTCCCTCTTTATTTATTCCCGTAATTCATGTACTACCTTCACACCGAGCACAGAAACTTCGTCTTCAAATAATAGATCAAATCCAATATCTTTTCATGGAAATCACACGATAAAACTTTTTTGGGATTCTATCAGTTACTGCCAAAAAAACTTATGGTAACATCTGCAGATGCCGTAAACCATCGTAAAAGTCCCATAAGCCTATCATGGCATTTCATGCGACAGCAACTTTAAACAGCTATATTTGTAAGAGATTTGACTTAGTCGACATTTGGCGATATATCTATGCATCCGTGAAGAGCTGAATCATTAATACTTGTTAGTCGTTATCAATCAGAGAGGTTAAGCTACAATAAGCCGCATCGCCTTGTAGTGTCACATGCTAAACTATAAATGTGTTTCATTACCTATAGTTCGTTTGCCTGTACGGGGTTGCTCGAAAACTTTTCTTCTTTTTTGTATAAACAATACATATAATAATTATAATTACAGATTTACGATCTTATCTATCATAAATCATCTATCAATTCTCCAAAAACTAAAAAAGAGAGCTTACATAATCTGCGACGAAAGGAAGTCTCTAAGAGATTACCGCTTTATACAACGTTATTTTTAATTTCAATTTATAATCTTATAATTTATATTTGTAATTATCAGTTTTATACGTTCATACAATAAAGAGTTAAATAAACGAAGTGAATTTTTCTATTAAGCCTTCGGATGGGATTGTAGTCACTGAATGGAGAACTGGAACAACTTCAAATATCTTGCAGAACAGTTAGCCGCAAATAACAATCCAATCCGTATCAAGCCCTTGCAGTAGATGACCCATTTCCCTCTTCTAGTCGAAAGCAGGCCACGTCACAACAATGGGGCTACATCTTTTTTATTCTGCTGGAAACAGGTGGCGAACCACCTGATAAAAAGCAGTAACTGTCGCTTATAAAATAATATAAAGTAACAGTACCACCCAAACCGTATGAGTCTATGACTTATACAACAAATCTGTTTTACTTTTATGTATGTAAAATATGTTTTTATGATATAATCTGGCATTTTGGAACAGCATTTGTATGAGATGCTGAATCTAGGAGTAATTTATATGTGTGGTGTAGTGGCAATTGTATATGGCACCATGCATACATATTATTGGTTATAGATTCCCATATATACAACTCTTATACGTTTGAATATGGAAAATTATAAAAATGCAATCAATGTGAATATTATATAAAAAATAAGTACACCATAATTATAAAAGAATAATATAATACAAAATCGACTATTTTGATTACTAAATAAAGCTAAACAGTGTACTTAAGAATAAAGTATTCATTATAATTATTATAAAAATAAATATCTTTAATACGAATACTGTTAATATATATCATCATCATCATTTCAGCCATTATCCGTCCACTACTGGACATAAGCCTCCCCCATAGACTGCCATAAAGAACGGTCCTGAGCCACCTGCATCCACTGACTCCATTTCAGGTCGTCACTCCATCACGTTATTATAAATGTTGATAAATAATTGTTTAAATAACAATTTATGACCAAGTTGGTCATAAATTAATAGGTGCTTTCATAGGCACTAACTAAAATAATCAGTTTTCTGTTTAGCATGAGATCTCACAACGTTTTGTAATAGAAAAATTGTATTTTTTTTTTTTACATTTTATGTTTTTAATGGAATATTAATTGTAAATTGTCATCTATCCTTTAATTTTTAAGAGATTGCTTGGCAATAAGACCACGTTTTGTATCACTTCATCTTAATCCTTATTTTTATAAGTGATGTCATTACTGTAAAGAAATAAACATCTTTTGTATCAAATGTTACACTTACTTTAGACCGATTTGGATAATTTTCATTTACATTTAGACAATATGGTTTAATTGTGGGAAAACGAAAATTATCCCAGTTGAACATAATGAGACACGTTTTATCCGGATTATCCATCCCCGTGGGATAATTAACAATCGAATTCCACGCAGACAAAGCCACGGATGTTCCCTATTATTAATATTATGTCCATGGATATTTTGTTCAGCAGCTTGAATCAAATAGCGGCCAGAAACAATGTAGATAGGTACTTCTATTTAATACAATTGATATTACGCACAGTTCGATAGGCTCGTTTTGAGCCGCTTCTCTCCCTTTGTTCCAGTATTAATGTTACATATTCATACTACCTGTCAGAACAGTGGATTCTCTATATACGGTAAGCTTATTTAATATTTTGTAAGTCTATACCGAATTTTTACAATATTAAATTGGATACCAAACTAGAACTAGTACATTAACAAATCTTTATCATAATATCCTAACTTTCCACTTACTATGAGTACTTGAGTACAAATTTCTTTCTCTTAATATCTCTCTAATAAAAAAATAACAAGAGAAGGCTATTTTATGAATATTACTTTTTTTATTAGCCAGACGGTTTTATATAAAAATTTTTAAGAAAGAAACAATAAACATATTTAAAGAAAAGAAGATAATAAAAAATGAAAAAGATATTCATAGATCCGCCTATTGTTTCTTTATAAAACGTGGTCAATAAAGAGTAAATAAAAAATGCCAGAATGGACATTCGCTGAAATGAAACGGTAATCTCAAAAGTTATGTAGATATGAGATTTTCAGAAGGGAAAAATTCGTTTGAAGTTGAATCGACTTAGTAGCACACGAGCGGCCACCAGTAAAAATTGGTTTTCCCTGAGCGACATTGGAACCGCATCTAAAGAAGCCGCCTCCGAACTGTCGTACCGTGAAATGAGATATAAACCGTTCAAAATTCTGATCGGTTGTATTGCCGCAAAGCGACGCGGTCCGGTCGATCACTTGCTCATACTATGAATGACGACTTGAAAAGGCGTTTAACTTTTCACGTTGATATTATTTATACAAATATGTGTACGTTCAGTTTTTTAACAAATTGAAAAGAACATATTTTCAATATCAGACAATTTAATTATTGATCAATGCCGTGGGTAAAAATAAGTTGTTAAAGTTAGCTTAAAATATCTGCACAGGCAGCAACGGTTTAATAAATTAGCATTTTACCAACTAGCTAAGATTTTATGATATACACTTTTAAAATTGATAATAATAATTAAATTAAAAACAAAAATTACACTTCATTTCATTCAAAATATAGTTTACCTGCAATCAAATCATTGTGAACAATATAATTGCGCAATGAAGACGAACGCTATCTTCTTAACGCTCAACTAATTCTATTCCCCGAAAGCAACAA